AATGTCCTCGGCAGGCCACAGTTTGAGGATAGGACACCTGATAGTGAAGGCGTGGAGGCTCAAGATGAGGAAAGCCTTTTTAGCACTTACATACTATCTCAACTGCCCTGATTTGTCTTGTCCACTTCTTAAAAACATCATAAGCTTTAATTTTATTCCTCCTACAGATACTGCTTTGTTCATTGTTATTGGAAAATAATTTAATATTTGGAAGGGAGATCTATTTCTTTTAGAGTGATATTTTTGTTTGTTTGTTTTTCCTGTAAACTGAGTTGGTGTGATACAATTAGATGCTTCCTTTATTTCTTTATGTTTCAAATTCTGTTAGAGTAAATGTAGCATTTTTTTTTTTTTTAAAGAGACAGAGTCTCCCTTTGTTGCCCTTGGTAGAGTGCTATGGCATCACAGCTCACAGCAATCTCCAGCTCTTGGGCTTTAGGCGATTCTCTTGCTTCAGCCTTCCAAGTAGCTGGGACCACAGGCGCCCGCCAGAACGCCCGGCTATTTTTTGGTTGCAGCCGTCATTGTTGTTTTGGCGGGTCCGGGCTGGGGATTCGAACCTGCCACCTTAGGTGTACGTGGCTGGTGCCTTAGCCGGTTGAGCTATAGGCGCTGAGCCAGCAGACCTTTTTTCAAGAGTTGTCTACTCTAGCTTTCCTTCTACTCTTTCTTGATTTCTCCTTTAAGACTTTTGACCTCACCGCTTTACCAAAACAGCCCTGATCAAGGTCACCAAGTGGTTTTCCAAACACAAAGCACTGCTCACATCTCAGTGGTTTGCCCCGACACCAGTTCTTGGTGTGGTCGTTCTTACTCTCTTCCCCTGGATTCCAACACCCCACTCTTCCTCCTTCTCCTCTGATCTCAGTGGCAGGTTGATTCTCCTTTCCCAGATCTTAACTTACCCCAGAGTCAGTCTTTGGGCCCCTCCTCTTCCTATATGAATCTATGACATTCCTTCTAATGGCCTAAGATGTCTGCTCACTGTTGACTACCAAATTTCACTCTCCAGCGTACCCTGTCCTCTAAGCCACACACTCATGTGCAGTGGTCTCCTTGATTTTTTTCCCCTTGGATACCGGAATGTCCAAGATCAAGTTCTTGATTTCCAGTATCCCAAACCTGTTCCTGCTGTATTCATCCTTATCTGTGATTGCTCAAGTCAAAAACTGTCACCTTAATTCCCCTCTCTCAGGATCTGTTGCTTGCTAAAATACACCCAGAATCTCATCAGTTCTTGTGGCCTCCACAGCTGCCTCCTCTTTCCAAGCCACTACATCTCTTGTGTAGACGCTTGCCCCAGCTTCTCATTGGCCTCTTCTTCTACCCTTACCCACTAGAGAAGTTTCTTACCATTGCCAGAGAGAACCTTTTAAAATGTGAAGTCAGAGTGTTGCAGGAAGATGAGGCCTAATGGAGAGAAAGAGTACCCTAACACCATGTTTATAAGAGGAAGGACTTTATTTCAGCCAGTGGAATGAACTGCATAGAGGACTTCGAAATGGCTGTGTTCCTGGTCTAGCTTGGTCTGTCCCTTTTTATCTCCAGTCAAAAAGTTCCAACTCACAGGTACCTTTCTCGTTGGTCAGTTTGAATCCAGCAGGAGAAGCTAGCTATTCCAGCTCCCACAGAACTACAGGATTTCACAAAAGTGGAAATTTCCAGGTCCCAGCAAGTTAAGTCTACAAATTCCTAAGAGCTGAGTCACCATAGAGATGCCCCTGTAGGTGTATTATTGGGGTCTCCTTGAGAAGACCTCTGTTCTCCTAAAACTTACCCTTCTCAGGGGTTCCTTCTCTCAAGAGCTTTCCATTTCACTGGGAGTAAAAGCTGAATTTTTACAATGGCTAGCAAAGCCCCACTGATCTGGCCCCTTGCTGTCTCTCCAACCTTATTATAGTGTCTTTATCTCCTCTTTCACCCTGCAGTCCCCCCACCCCCCACCATTTGCCTTCTGAATGACAATTCAGGCCCCACTGAGTGGCCTGCCTTTGCCTGAAAGAACTACACCAGCCTGGCCCATCAGAACCTTTGCCCTTGCTTCCTCTGCTCAAAATCTCTTCCACCAAAAATTCGCAGGGGTCTCTCACTCCATTCCCTTCTAATATTAACCTATTAGAGAGCTTCTCCTTGAAAATCAAATTTATTGGCTCGGCGCCTATAGCTCAACCGGCTAAGGCGCCAGCCACGTACACCTAGGGTGGCGGGTTCGAATCCCCAGCCCGGACCCGCCAAACAACAATGACGGCTGCAACCAAAAAATAGCCGGGCGTTGTGGCGGGCGCCTGTGGTCCCAGCTACATGGGAGGCGGAGGCAGGAGACTCGCTTGAGCCCAGGAGTTGGAGGTTGCTGTGAGCTGTAATGCCACGGCACTCTGCCCAGGGGGACAGCTTGAGGCTCTGTCTAAAAAAAAAAAAGAAAATCAAATTTATTTAATATAACACCTTTCTCCTACCTGCATTCCCTCCAGATACAATTATTGGTATATTATTAATATCCCTCCCCTCTTTGGGGGCAGGGACTCTGACACTGCTGTATCTTTAAGACTCAGACCCAAGCCTGGAACCTGCTGGATGTTAAATGAATAGAAGAAGGTAGTAGTGATGGGGATTCCTGGTATGATTCTGTTAAATATGAAAGTCTAAATTACTTGTTTTTCAAACACTGTATAAAACAGGGTAGGTCTGCGTATACACAAACTTGAAATCTTACCCACAATCTGTTTCAACCTGTATTTAATGATGGAGCTGTTACTAACCAACGTTTAACCTTGCAGGAGACATTGTGCTTAGATCACTTAGTTTAATCCCTGCCTACTCAGTGTATGTTGGTTGTTATCTCATTTTACAAAAAAAAGAAATGGGGCTTAGTGAGTTTAAGAAACCAGCTGGAGATAGGAAGTAGCCCTGCCCTGCTGGGATTGGATTTCAGTGTTTTTGCTCCAGAATCTTCTGAAGAATGTTGAGACTGCTAAAATAAAGGCCTCCTGGAGATCCTTTTAAGTGTTGGTCATTTAAATGCTTATAGAACAGTACTAAGAAAGTAATGTTTACTTTTAGAGAAATCAAAGGTTAAATGTGATGGTTAAGTAGTCATAAATATGAAGGAGATATCTTTCTTAAATTTTGAGCTAAAAGTTAGTTCTCAGGGCACTTTGCCTAACGAATGATCTAGGATAGCTCTTGCAGTCTGGTTTGTACAGACATGTTCCAATTCCCAAACCGGGGAGCTGTTACTATGGTTGTGAACGGTTTTGTCTGTGAGTACATAGATACCCATAACACAGAGCCCACAGAGCTTTGGCTTGAAGTGCCCTGGTTACTCTCTGGGTTACTTGTCCAGAGAGCCTCTTGGGAAGAAAAGTAAGAAATAAATCCTCAGCTTCAGATTGTATAGTTAACTACGCAGTAGTTTAGTCTGTTGCTCTTCAGGAAAACAGCCTCCAATTTCTGTTCTATGAAAGTAGGTGAAACAGAGAGGGATTGCTAAGTGTAAGGGAAGAAGATATCAGTGAAGCCATGCCTCATCCGACTCTTTATTTTCTGGTTCTTTAGAAAGATAGTGCCATGTCAGAGTTGAGGACCCCCAAAGAGCCCCACTTTTCATTCTTCCTTCTCTCTACCACATCATTTATAGTCTCCTGCTTCACTGAGGCATGATCACCTGTCTGGAGAAGACCTGAGTGAATAGAGGTAGTTATCTGGGATTTTTGGTAGTACAAAAATGGACTGAGGCACAGTGGCATATGCTGGTGGTCCCAGCTACTTCAGAGGCTGAGGTGGGAGGAACCCTGGAGCCCAGCAGTTGGAATCCAGCTTGGGCAACATTGTTTCAAATAATAATAATCATCACTATTATGGATTAGCGTGCACCCCCCCCCCCCATCCCCACCCCGAAAAAAAGGATTAAGAGAGCTGACATTTCACTTAAGGGTTCCCAATGCCTGTGAAGTGAGCCGCAGCTGTTGGTGGCCCTGGCTTCCTGTGAAACCCACTACACTGTACTGTGTTTTGTAGGCTCTATTTTGTCACGGAATCAAGAAAGTGGTGATGCCATCAGACACCTGGTGACCAATTAAGTGAAGCTCAATCTTGTTTATTACTTTAGATGATGTACTAAGAATTGTCAGTAGGGGCATAAATAAGTTTTTCATTACTAACGTGAATCTTAAATGTGTCTTCACATTCAAGAGAGGTTGTTGTCTGACCTACTAAGAAAAAGAGCTGTAGGGTAACCTCTTCTTTGAGGTTCTCTTTGTTCTGCTGGGAATAAATGCCAGAAATGTGAGTGGGAACTAATTAGAGGAATTGTCTGGCATGTTTGAATTCATTCATAACATGAGAGGATGTAATATTTTGTTGATCTTAATGCAAATGAAACTTCCAACCTTTTATATAATATTAATAGTTGCTTGTACAACAACCTTGTACTACAGATTTCTTGTTTATTTTTTATATTTTACTTTGGCACGATTCATTCCTCTCTTTTCATTGTGAGTTTTAAAGATGCAGATAGTTATTTCAAGGTCATTATATGTGTGTGCATAATTTTAAAAATTGCCCCCAAGTGTCTTAATTACCAAAGTAAATTGCTGAAGTATAATTTTTCAAAGTTTCAAAAATAAGTAAGGCTGTCTTCAGATGATACTGTTTATGAATAGAAAAATAAGATAAGAGGTGACACAGACAATTAATAGCTCTTCTGCAGGTGACATGAGGGATTCTTACTGTGTTCTTTTATTCTTGTGGGCTTTGTGTCATGACCTTAATTTTTTTTTTTTTCTGTTCCAGCATCCGCTAGCTTTTAAAAAGAATAATTTCTTTGGTGTTTGGGAGGTGTTTTGAGCATACTCAGCCAATGTCCCTAAGCAGCTGACTTGACTGGGTCAACTGTGGGATTGGGCTCTCATGCTGTGAACTTAATGAACAACCCTTTTTTGCTTTAAAATATGAATTGCCTTTTTATTTTTTTGTTTTCCTTGTTTGTTTCTCCTAAACAGGCTGCAGATACGTTGGCTGTGAGACAAAAAAGAAGAATTTATGATATCACCAACGTCTTAGAAGGAATTGACTTGATTGAAAAGAAGTCAAAGAACAGTATCCAGTGGAAGTAAGTCACAAACCAGCACTCTCCTCTAAGACCTTTCTTTTTCTTCCCTTTGCTCAGCAAAACCTGAATTTTCCCATGTTAATTTCTCTATTTGGGCCGTCTGCTCTAATCCCCCCAGAGACGTCCATTTTCACTGGACACACCTCTCTGGGCCTCTGTATGTCACGCCTGTGTTGGGATGTTCCCTTGCTGTCTTAACTGTTGAAAAATTCTCTCTTAAAATTAAAATCTTATTTTTTTCCTCAAGCCACTCATTTGGCAAATGCTACTACTACTCTGTATTATTAATCTTTGAGTAAGCCTTTATCTACCCAGCTAATGTAAACTTTTAAAAATAGGAGCTGTGTCTCCTATTACATAGGCGTGTGTGTACCTTGTAAATAAATAATTGATTGAAATACATATTGTCATTTCTTAACTGTTACCTGGTTGTATGCTTAAACGTAAGAGATACTTTCTCTTCTTCAAATGTGTCCCCTCCATAAAGGGACTTTTATTTTTAATTCCATCAAAATTCTAAAAGGTTGCCATTTTCTCATCTGTTTTTTAAGAGGTGTCGGTGCTGGCTGTAATACTAAAGAAGTCATAGATAGATTAAGATATCTTAAAGCTGAAATTGAAGATCTAGAACTGAAAGAAAGAGAACTTGATCAGCAGAAGTTGTGGCTACAGCAGAGCATCAAAAATGTGATGGACGACTCTGTTAATAATAGATATCCTTTTAAATAAGTTGTGCATATAAATACAGCCATGGAATATGTGTGTATGTGTGTCTATAAAGGAGTTTTCAGTCTGAAGGTCAACTAGTGTAGTGTTTTTAGAAGTTAAGTTTTGTTAGTGAATGTAACATTTCAATTTTATATTGTTATTTAACTTATATTCAATTAATAATTATAGTCAATTATTCAAATTATTTTATAATTTCAGTTATAATATATACTGACATTTAAAAAATTTTACCTTTTAAGTTATGTAGTATATCCTTTGACAATATTGCTGTGTTGCACTGAAGAAAAAAAGTTAGTCTACTTTTAGTCTGTGTATTGATAGGATGCAATACGCTAGCCAAGGTGTGGTTAGAGGGTCTGTGAATATTAGAAACCACTGTTAAGTGCATAGGGGTTTTTAATCATGTTTAGTGTTTTGAAGAGGAAAAAATTCAGCAACTCTCAAAGTTTTGAAAAATTTTGATTTGAAGATGAAATGTCACAGGCACATAATCAATCCATGATATTAACCCAAAGATAGTTCCTACTGGAGGAGAGGGGTTCAAGGCTTATGTATCTATCATATTACATTGGGGGGATAACATGAGTGATATACACTCCATGTGTTTCTTATACACCCCTGTCTTCTCTTAGATATCTGTGATTTTTTTTTTTTTTTTGACTGGGGCTGGGTTTGAACCCGCCACCTCCAGCATATGGGACTGGCACCCTACCCTTTTGAGCCACAGGCGCCGCCCTAATTATAAAATTTTGACTAAGGTATACAACATAATTTATTTTTCATATTGTCCTGCATTTGTTGAACACGTTCATAGTCTCATTTGTTATTTCCTTTTTGTGGATCAGAGCTCGGATCAGAGGTCCTTTAACAGTTTGAGAACAATGGGAGTTTTTAAGCTGTGCCGTATGGAGTCCCAGGATTCATAAGCCATTTACCTTAGACTTTGCTGCCCTGGTTTACAAGATTCTGGCCACTCGCAATTCCCCAAACAATGATTATATATATATAGTAGAAACTCTCTAACTTGATCACCCAAGGGACTATAACAACCTGGTTAATACATAGAAGTGGTCAACATAAGGACCATGTACTGACACATACATGTACTTTACTTTCTTGTACAGAGAATGTATGAAATTCTACAGTAGAAACTCTCTAACTTGATCATCCAAAGGACTATAGCAGCCTGGTTAATACACAGAAGTGGTCAACATAAGGACCTAGGCCTACTGTACTGATACATACATGTACTTTACTTTATTGTACAGAGAATTGTATGAAATCATACATAATCAGAACACAGTAAAATCATACGTACAATAACATACAAAATATGTTTACTGTTTTCTCATGGTTTAATTATTCTTTTTGAAACATGAGTCAATCTTGGTGTGTTTGTTTTTCTTATTATTACAAACATAAGTGGAGAAAGCACTCTCAGTGCTGGCTACACCTTGGCATTTTTTTGTATGTTATGATACTTTGACATCCTAAAAACAATCTTTCTGGCTGAGGAGAGACTGCCCATCCTGAGACTAGCTACTTCTTAGAAACAGCAAGGGCTCAGCCAGGATTATGCCTTTGATATACAAAGTAACCATCCAGGGTCAGACCTCCTCTCTCTGGCTTGTACATCACAGTCTCAATATTTCTCTGCCTTAATCATGCAGGGCTGGGTACCAGACAGCTCTGGACCACCCCCATAGCTCAGAGCCTGCCTACATTATTTCTTTAAAAAACCCCACCCTGAAGTGTTCACCCTGCCTAATCTTATCCTTCCCGAGGAAATCCCATGAAAGGTCTGGCCCAGTGCTTTCCCCTTGCCCCTGTCTTTTGCCCTCTGACTGTCCTGATGTCATGGCCTGCCTTGCCTCCTATCTTGGACCCTGTGAGTATTAAAAAACTTTGTTTTCCAGAGCCTTGTTCCTGTCTCCTCTTGTGGGTTCCTCTGATTGACAAGCTCATAGGAGAACACAGAACCATGACTCCAGAAGATTCTTGATGGGGAAACCTTATTTGTTCTCCACTCTGGCCATTAGCCCCTTTTTGCCCAGGTATCCCCCTTCCCCTTGAGGCCCCCACTGCCATAAGGAATGTACATTATTTTCCATCTCCCAAGGGTCCACAGATGTGACAGAAATTGGAATGGCTTCTCTTCAGAGCAAGGGGTGAGAACTCCTCTTATGGACCTTCATTTGAATGTTTGCTTTTTCAGAGTAGACTTCTGTTCTTTTTTTTTTTTTTGAGACAGAGCCTCAAGCAGTCCCCCTGGATAGAGTGCCCTGGCATTACAGCTCACAGCAACCTCCAACTCCTGGGCTCAAGCGAGTCTCCTGCCTCAGCCTCCCAAGTAGCTGGGATTACAGGGACCCGCCACAATGTCTGGCTATTTTTTGGTTGCAGCCGTCATTGTTGTTTGGCGGTCCGGGCTGGGGATTCGAACCCGCCAACTTAGGTGTACGTGGCTGGCGCCTTAGCCGGTTGAGCTATAGGCGCCGAACCAACTTCTGTTCTTTTTTATCTGTGTGTTGGGCCATTTAGTTATTTTGGCCATCAGATTTATTATATTGATGTAAATGCCTAGACCTTGATATAAATGTTATTCTTTAATTCTTATGACAGTACATTTTCGTATGTAACTCATGAAGACGTCTGTAATTGTTTTAATGGTAAGTACTATCAGGTTAACCCATTCAGTGTAGTGATTCAGAATTCCCTTTGCACTCATTATTCTCAGAAGTTGTAAGACACTGTTTCACTCTCTTCTGTGTATTGATGCCTATTCGGGGTTTTGTTTTCATGAGAACTGCTTTTCACAACTTTGACTTCATTAGCTTCCTTGGCAGGCATAAAGGTGGGTGGGGATGAAGGGGAAGTCAAACAGAGCGGGGTTAAGCAACAGCTTTAAAGTCAGAGAGTCACAAAGTCAGTGACCAAACTTGAAGAACACAGTTTTTACCAGCACTGTTTATCAACAAGTGTGCTGATCACAAATAAAACCCAAAGGAAACATGAGGAAAGAATTAGGTGAATCCTGGGTGGTGCCTGTGGCTCAGTGAGTAGGGTGCTGGCCCCATATACTGAGGGTGGTGGGTTTAAACCCGGCCCCGGCCAAACTGCAACAAAAAAATAGCCTGGCATTAAGGCGAGCGCCTGTAGTCCCAGCTACTTGGGAGGCTGAGGCAAGAGAGTCATTTAAACCCAGGAGTTGGAGGTTGCTGTGAGCTGTGTGACGCTGCCACGGCACTCTACAGAGGGCAATAAAGTGAGACTCTATCTCTAAAATAATAATAATAATAATAATAATAAAAAAGAATTAGGTGAATCCATTTTATAACCATTAAACCTACTTCTATTCAGTGCCCTGCCACCATGTTTCCCCCTGAAATGACAATATCACGTTAATAGTTGATATAACTAAAATGGGGAGGGGGATTGGAGGGGGGACTTGTGTTCCCCTAGTTGCAACACAAAATGAAATTTTGCATATACATTTCTATTTAATTGTGCATGTTCTATTAAAAGGACAGTCTTATATACTGTCTGAATATTAAGAAAAAATTCTGCCAAGTACCTTGTCAAGTCGAATCTGACTTTCTGTGTAAAAGTTTGTTGGAAGTATGTGTGGGTTTATTGCTGTTTCCTGAGGTTTCTAAGACAGTTTGGGGAAAGTTGTACTAATCTGCAGCTCAACAGAGATCTGCTGTAGAATTTGGCTCAAAAGTAAATTCAGTTAACCTCAAGATGTTTCATGTCTCATACCTTATTTCTGGGATCCTCAGTCATTTAAATAGATCAAATAAACTGTTAATTTAATTGAGGCTAAAAGGATTTAAGAATACAGATTTTACAGGAGACTAGAGCAAAAGCAAAAGTTAACTTGAGCTGAATTTATTGAGAATAAAGCTAACACAAGTATTAACCCTGTTCTCAGAGTTGCTAACACATGTATCATCTCACTTAATCCTTATATCGAGGCAGTAGGTTGTATTTCCCCCATTTTGTAAAATTAAAAACCAAAGCCCAAGGTCAGCTACCCTGGGACTGGACCAAACATTCTGACTCTAGAGCCCACAGTCTCACTGCCATGTTCTGTGATCAACAGTTTTTCTACAATCTGTTATATTTATTTTTTTGACTAGGTGATACACTTTTGGCCATTCGAGCACCTTCTGGTACACAGTTGGAGGTACCTATTCCAGAAATGGTATGTAGGATAACTTCTGTATAAGTAGAAAAAAATGAGTCTACTGTCTCAAGAGGGACCAGTATTTTTTCCTCAGCTGAACATTAGTTGTTGTGTAAACACTTTGGAGTTATTACTTTCAAGTTTTATGTCCAAAAGTATTGGTATCTGGATGTTGTTAATACTTTTGTAAAATGTAGAAGTAACTGAATCATAAATGATTTTTAAGTTTTTTGATCATCTTAGACATTTCTTGATACTCAGTAGTAGCTCAAATAAAATGTAAAAACCATGTAATCAAAATGTGAAGTCATTTTGTTAAATAACTTTGATTACTTTTTTAAACTTTGATTTTCTTTGAGCCACAGGATGTCAAGAAGTGACTAATGATGCTAATGATGTGGTCAGTAATCTTTAAACATTGGTTAAAATGGCCACAGCTATAACTGATACAAAAATCCCAACTGAGGAAAAAGTTCAATTTAAATATCAGTGATCTTTTGCCCTAAATTAAGTCTTATATTTTCCATTTTACTGATTCAAAGACTTTTATTGACTCTATGCTGTAAATGAATTTTGTGATTTTAATTTTCAGGTTCAGAATTTCTAAAACAAATGAATCTGAAAGTTGTTAACAACCAAAAAAGAGAGTAGAAAAAGATTATTATAGTAGAATAGAAGTTTGTACTTAGGCATTTGTATTAGAAGAATCTGAAGCCTGAGATAGAAGTTAATTTCTTGAACTGCAGGGATTTTATATTTGTTTCTCTGGAGAAAAATCAGTTGTTTTTATGCTCATAAAATGGGGGAAAAAACTTTGACTTGTGAAATGTAAAAGGCTGTCTAGTAAGTGTTCAGCCATGTAATATGAAAAAATGGAGACATGCGTGGCTCGATTCTTTCTGGACAGGCCTTGTAGGTGTAAACTAAGACAGCATGTTGAGATAAGCACACACACACTAGCCAGCTGACTCCAGGGGAGGGAGTTCATGCTGTGCTGGGTAGGGACATGTAGAAAACACCCAGTAAAAATGGATGACATCCAGAATTCCACAAGTGAGAGTTTTTAATGATCAGTGTTGAGAAAAGTTTACTTCTTAGAAGCAGGTGGTTTAGAGCCCTCAGAATCACATTCTAATCTTGTGTTTTGACAAGAGTAGTTATTAGGCCCCCAAAGCTTTGCTTGTCTTATTTTTAATGTTTCAAGGTAGCTAGAATTGCTAATAATTATTTATTTGTTTTTACCCATTAACTTCAAAGAATCTGAATGGACAAAAGAAATACCAGATCAATCTAAAGAGCTGTTCAGGACCTATCCACGTGCTGCTTATAAATAAAGAGTCGAGTTCATCTAAGCCTGTGGTCTTTCCTGTTCCCCCACCCGATGACCTCACACAGTCTTCCTCTCAGTCCTCAACTCCCGTGACTCCACAGAAATCCAACACAGAACCTCAGAATCTGCCTGAGCAGCATGTCTCTGAAAGAGGCCAGAATTTCCAGCAGACACCAGCTACAGATATATCTTCCGGTGGGTTCAGAGCCTTTGCTGTACCGTTTAAGAGAGAGGAAAACATGAATATGGGTTGAGTATCCCTTATTCAAAATGCTTAGGACCAGAGTGTTTGGAGTTTTTTAGAATTTGGAATATTTTCATATGCATAATGAGATGTCTTGGGCATGGGGCCCAAGTCTAAACATGAAATTCATTTAGGGTTTATGTTCACTTTATGCATATAGCATGAAGGTAATATACAGTATTTTAAATTTATGTACACAAAAAATGTTGACTGTGTATTGACTGTGACTCATCATATGAGGTCAGGCGTGGGATCTTTCCACATGTGGTATAATGTTGGTGCTCAAAGATTCAGATTTTGGATTTTCACATTAGTGATGCTCAACTTGTACTGTACTCAGTGCCACATACTGATGTTTCAGTTGGTGATGGACCATGGTTATGATGGTCCCCCCATGAGATTACAAGGGAGCTATACAATGGAGTAGGCCATTCCATCTAGGTTTATTTAAGTACACTTTCTCATGTTTACATGATACATTTCTTACAACAGATCCTGTTGTTACTCAACATATAACTATATATTAAACACGTTGGAAAGTTTTTCTGAATTTATCAGTAGTGATGTTATCTAATACAGGAGCAAAATAGTTAGCTTAAAGCAATCATCTATTCATTTAGGGTCTCCTGTGTGCCTAGCACCGGGATAGGTATTTATCAGGTGTCCTCAAACTACGTACCGCAGGACACATGCAGCCTGCCTAGGACATTTATCCGGTCCACCAGGTGTTTTTGCCGCCGCTGCCTGTCCTGCTCAGCAGCCGACTCGTCCCAGGGCGTGCAGTCTGGCCCGCCAACGTTCTGAGGGACAATGAACTGGCCCCCTGTTTAAAAAGTTTGAGGACCCCTTGGTATTTATGAAGAAAATTTAAAAATAGATCTATCTTTATTACTACTGTTTGTCTCATACAAACACACATACTTGGCTCGGCACCTGTGGCTCAAGTGGCTAAGGCGCCAGCCACATACAGCTAAGATGGTGGGTTCGAATCCAGCCCAGGCCTGCCAAAACAACAATGACGGCTGCAACCAAAAAATAGCTGGGCGCTGTGGTGGGCGCCTGTGGTCCCAGCTATTTGGGAGGCGGAGGCAGGAGACTTGCTTGAGCCCAGGAGTTGGTGGTTGCTGTGAGCTGTGATGCCACGGCACTCTACCCAGGGGAACAGCTTGAGGCTTTGTCTCAAACAAAAAAAAACACACATACTTAGAAATATTCATTCAAGTACAATATAGTGTGGTTAAGATTCTGTGAGAACTATGAATACTGAGAAAAGAAAGATACCTATGGGACTAGATTTGCTTTTTTCCTAAGGATTCTACTTTGGAGATCAATTAAACTGAAACTATTCGTTTTTCCTTCTTTTACTATTTACATTTGTCAGCTTTTACCTGGAATGTACTTGACAAGGTTCTTTTACCTCTGAGTATGTCCAGGATAAATAACTGAAGTATGTTCTATCTACCTTTAACAAAAATTAAACTTGGTAGAACATAGCAATGTATGCATCCTGTTTCCATATTCTTTGTTGCACTTTTTATTTGGGAAGCTTAGTTTTATAAAACTGATAAAAATGGCTCAACTCCAATTATTTGGGAAGTCTTGCCTTCCAAAGTTATTTCATCTATGAAATGATAAATAGCTAAGAAATGATAAATAGCTAAACTGGTTATCGGGACTAGGAAGCACAACTCCTAAATTCAAAAATTCCTTGTCATATTTGGCTAGGTATTTAGGAAGTCCTTAATAATTCCGAAGAAAGGGGATCATGGTAGGCATTCTCTCAATGATTGCTCAATGAATTAGGTATGCTAATGTAGATACCATGTTGCAGATAATTAAAAACTATTATTGTATGTAATTCAAATTATGTTTATCTCTGGGATGTGTCTCATTGCTATTATGGGAGATTCCTATAGTTACGAGCTAAAATGATCTCACTGAACATGGAATGTTTTCTTAGATTCTTGTTGTGCCCATCCTTTCCTTTCCTTCCCCTATAAATTTCTTTTTTTTTTTTGGCCGGGGCTGGGTTTGAACCAGCCACCTCTGGCATATGGGACCGGCGCCCTACCCTTTTGAGCCACAGGCGCCACCCCTATAAATATTTCTATGCTATTGCTCATTTGGATACAGTCCTTAAAAAGCTTACATTCTAATTGGGGTAAAGCAGGCAAGGTTTATATGGTTTAGTTTAGACACAGTATATTGGTTTCCATATGGTTTTATGTTTGGAAATACTAGGGAAAGTAATTTGGGGCCAGATTAGAGAGGGCCTTGAGTATCAGACTGGGTTAGGATTTTTAGCCAATCAGCCAGTGAAGATCTGTGACCAAGGAAAATAGCACTATTAGGCTATAGGGCAGGGATCCTCAAACTTTTTAAACAGGGGACCAGTTCACTGTCCCTCAGACCGTTGGAGGGCTGGACTGTGGGCCCCGGGAAGAGTTGGCTGCTAAGCAGGACAGGCAGCAGCGGCAAAAACACCCAGTGGGCCAAATAAATGTCCTTGCTGGGCCATAGTTTGAGGATGCCTGCTACAGGGTGTTGAGCACAGGACCTGATTGGGAGAAAAGAGATTAGAAGCTATGGAGATTGAAGATCAGGTATTTGCACTTATGCAACAGAAAACATTAAGGCTAGAATTGATGGGAGCAGAAAGAGACATAATGAACAGATTTGAGAAATGCTGTCTAGGCAAAATAGGCAACAATGACATGTGAGATCTGGAGATACAGCTAACAGGAGGAATGGAAAGTGAGATTGAAGTTTTAAGGTTGGGTGACAGGAAGAATTACATTATTCCTAACTCTGTAAAATTGGATCAGTTTTGGAAGAGGATGATGTCTTTTGGTTTTCATCTTGAGTTTGGAAATAAGAAAGTAACGCCAATCCCACAGTAGGTGCTCATGAAAATGATCTTTGCATAAAGTATTAGGACTTCAGATATGCAGTGTCAGTCAGGTTGCTGCCATGGCTCCCTAAGGTAAAGTACCTTTTACTCTTAAAATATATAAACATAAGTGGGTGGTGCCTGTGTCTCAAGGAGTAGGGTGCTGGCCCCATATACTGGGAGTGGCAGGTTCAAGCCAGCCCCGGCCAGAACTGCAAAAAAAAAAAAAAAGCAGAAATTAACAAAACTTTATTCATTTCTGTTTCCAGCAGGGTCCATTAGTGGTGATATCATTGATGAGTTAATGTCTTCTGATGGTAAGTAGGTTAAAATTTTACTATCTTATACATCAGTAATGCTTTCCTAGAATTTATAAATGAATGATTTAAAGGAAATGAAAAACTTAGATTTTCTAACTGCCTTACTATGATGATTTATGAAAATGCTCCTTTAATAATACTTTACAGAAAGTAGCAGGCATCCTTCAGAATTTTTTTCTTTGCCTGCATTTTTTTTTCCTTTTTTTGAGACAGTTTCACTTGTAGCCCTTGGTAGAGTGCCCTGGTGTCACAGTTCACAGCAACTTCAAACTCTTGTGCTCAAGTGATTCTCTTGCCTCAACCTCCCGAGTGGCTGGGACTACAGGTGCCCTCCACAACACTTGGCTTTTTTTGGAGATGGAGTCTAGCTCTTGCTTAGGCTGGTCTCGAACCTGTGAGCTCAGTGATCCACCGGCCTTGGCCTCCCAGAGTGCTAGGATTACAGGCATGGGCCCTGTGCCTGGCTTTTTGCCTGCATTTTGAGGGAAAGGAATTCATTTGGAGATATTTCTCACCTTCATTGAATAAACTTCTCAACTGTTGGCCCATTAGCCTTTTCCTGTCCTGAAGAATTTAGCCCAAGAAGAGTAAAATAATACATCTAAATCAATAGGTGATCAGAACACCCACTTTTGTAAATACCCCTACCATGGCCAACTTCAATCTGCCAATGTGAAATGTTACTTGGCCATATTGTCATCTAATCTGAGAAATTCTTAAAAATCATTTGGCCACAATAATACATTTTCTCTGGGTTTCATCTTTCCTAAGTTCTTGGATTCAGAGTTCTAGTTCCCAATAAATATAGCAGAGACCTAGGAAGTGGTAGCAGTTAATTAGTAAATGGTACCACTTAGAGATGTCCCAAACATTTATGTAGAAGCAGGGAATGTCTGAAAACTCAGTAAGTCTAGTTCACACTTCTGTTCTCACAGTGGTAAACAAAATACTTTCATCAGTGTTTATCTTAGTGACAAACTCAACCAATTAAAATTTTAACCTCTATCCAAGGTAATACCAATACTTAATGTATAAATTGTACATTCTCTTAAAATATACATTAAACAAATCATTAATCTGATCATTTTCTTATACTTAAAAAAATACATGTCACATAGCAAACAATTTGATGTACTTAAGTGCATTTTATGTTAAGCATCATTTGTCACCTGTGGCGACTGTCTCTAACATTGCATTTATGTTTTGTTTGTAGTGTTTCCTCTTTTAAGGCTTTCTCCTACCCCGGCAGATGACTACAACTTTAACTTAGATGACAATGAAGGAGTTTGTGATCTGTTTGATGTTCAGATACTAAATTATTAGACTCCAAGGAAGCCTGGGACTGTTATCTACCTCTAACTGTGTAACATTTTAGACTTCTTAATAACCTAAGTATTTAAAATAATGAATGTAACACCTTGTTAGTTCACTGATTCTGAAGTGTTCTTCCCTAATACTTTTTTACTTCACAAAACTTTAACCATAAAAATGGAGTCTTGCTCCTGCTCAGGCTGGTCTCGAACCTGTGAGCTCAGTAACCCACCTGCCTTGGCCTCCCAGAGTGCTAGGATTATAAGCATGAGCCACTGCGTCTGGCTCTTTGCCTGCATTTTGAGGGAAAGGAATGCATTTGGGGATATTTCTCACTTTCACGGAATAAACTTCTCAACTGCTGGCCCATTAGCCCTTTCCACTCCTGAAAGTGGCATGAGCCACTGGGCCTGGCATAAAAATATAGGGCTCTGACTACTTTACAGGAAACGTGACTTAATATCCACATCCCCCCAAGTAATTATATTCTGGGATTTCAACTTTTCTTCTAATTCTGAATTCTTCTGTTTTTTTTTTGTTTGTTTGTTTGTTTGTTTCTCTTATGAGAAGAAAGTATAGGTCAGCAAAAACAAAATAAGTTAGCGAAGGGCTCATCATTTGTCTTATATTTTTACTGCCATGAAATTGTATTCTTGTATGTCCTTCAGTCCAAACAGACATTCACTGCCGCTTATAAAGTGAAGGATGTAAATGCGGATATATGACTGTTTCAGTGAACAGAGTTTGTGAAGTGCCTTCTGTTCTAGCACTTTATCACATTTTGTTGACTTCTGACATTCCACTTTCCTAGATTACAGGAAAGATCTGTTTATGTAGTTTGTTTTTAAAATGTGCCAATGCCTGTACATTAACAAGATTTTTTAAAATAAAGTTGTATAAAATGTTTAATTTATTGGTCTTTTTGGGGAAGTAGATGCATCGCCACTGTATTACAACAGAGCCATTAATTTTGTAGCTTCATCAACGTTAACTGGTTCACTTTCATGACGTCGCTGAGGAATC